TTAAAGAGCCAAAGACTTCTAAGTTTGATTGCAGTTGGCTAGGTCCTTATAAAATCCATCGGATGTTCAATAATTTAACTGTGGAACTAGCATTAGGATCTAATAAATTTAAAATAGTACATATTAATAAACTTAAATTGGCATGTATAAGGCCTAATATACTTGATGAAGAGGATTAATATAAAATAAGTATATTTGAGTTAAAGTTCTATTTTGATATATTAAAAGTTAATTAATTATTACAGCGTAGGATTTGTTCATGGTTCTCTCGTGTTAAGTTGTATAGTCTAGGTATGAACGCCTGTTTGTTGATCATTAAGTTAGTACCTAGTTCCTTATGTTATTTTTTCTAAATGCGATTATGTTGTTTGACTCATACAGTTATTGAAGGTTATTTACTTTACGTTGAGGAGTCGAAATAATGTGGAAAAAGCTGTTTCATAAGGAAACACCTTTTCCTGTAAGGGGGAAAGTGTTATGTTGTCGCGGGTAGTGTCTTTAGTTCAAGCGATATTTAGGGTTATCGATATGCGAGTGTCGAAAGCGCGAAGTTTGAAACAAATGTAATAGGAGAAGGGAGAAAGGTGAAGTTGACACATGTAGGAAACGAATTGAAATCAGTAGATACTCATCCAAAAGGATAGATTTCAAATTACTTATGTTTGAATAATTTCTCTTTATCTCCATCTCCTAATATGCAAATCAATGCTAAGATGTTAAACACTCGCGAACTGGACAGTTGATAAATGACAGGGAATGGATTGGCAAATCGGAAGTCGTTTTAATTAATTAATAATTTCCTGATTGGATGTCGGTATCTAAGACATTTTGATAATAAACAAATTGTATTTGTTTTTATAATTGGGCAAGGAGATGACGCTCCTTGTTTCTTTTTTTTTTCCGCCATTCATCTCTGGACATTACAACTACCCAGACGCATTCTCGAAACATAAAAAGTATTTGTAAAAGTAAATTCATTTACATAAGTGTAAAGAAAATATTGAAATTAAAATTAAAGAATTGTGAACAGTTTAAATTGAAGTTGTTATTTAATGGAATACTGAAATACAATTTCACAATTAAAAGCGCCCCATAGGCGCTAGCTCACACCATATTTCCCACGAAGCTTTAAAATTCACTAAGGAGAACGCAACAGCATGTGGGCTCGGCGCTGCCCTCGGCCAATGGCAGAGTTCCACGCGTGCGCACCTGCGGGCTTTGAGAACGCTCTCTCAAGCGTTTCCTCCTTCTCCGTCCGGCAGACGAGTAGACTGGACGTGTTGGAGTATCGTTCCAGCCTACTATGGCCACGCTTTCGTATTCGGCATTCTAAGATTAAGTATTGTATTGTGTTCGTATTGAAAATAAAATTTTGTTCGTGGACAATTACATTGGTGACCCCACAAGCAGCGGTGCCCCTGCGCCATATGCGGGAGTGCTAGGGAGTTACACTCTGCTTCCTACACGA